CCCTGCCTCCCACCCTTGGCCTGTGACACAAGCAGCTGCCAGCCCCGGGGCTGAGCTGGCCGGGGTGTCTCCGGGGTGCTGCGGGGCTTGGGGCCCTGGCCCTGAGCCACCTGGTGCTTCCCTTGCAGGGACGCAGGCCCGCTACTTCTGGCAGCATGAGGACCCCCAGACGGCCCTGGATCGCTTCAAGGACATGGTCCAGGTCTACCTGGAGACCGTCAAGGCCAGTGGCAAGGAAGCCGTTGCCCAGTTCGAGGCCTCTGCAGTTGGCAAGCAGCTTGAGTAAGTAGCTGACGCGAGGGGGGAGCGGGCAGCCGGCCACGAGGCCCCACAGGCACATGCCACGCACCTGCCGTCTGCCACGCCCCATTCGGAAGGGTCTCTCCTGTGGCGCCACTGCCGTCTGCTGGCTGGAAGGGGAACTGCTCACCTGGGTGTGTCTCGCCCTGGGACCCAGCATCTCCCGGTGATGGCCACGCCCTGTCCCGGCTGTCGCTGTGGGAGGCCCAGTGCGCCGCACTGCCTCCTAGCTGAGGACTTGGTGGCGGATCGAGCACGCCCCCTCCTTCCACCACCAGAGAACGGAGGGAGCCTTGCCATGCCCAGGCTATCTGGGGAAACTGAGGCCCGGAAGAGGTTAAATCCACAATTGACCCAGAGCTGGGGTGCCAGCCAGTCTGAGGCCCTGGGCATCTCAAGCTGGGCACCCAACAAGCAGGGTTGCTTGGGAGGGGATTGGCCAGGGGAAGGCGGCGTCACAGCCGGGGTGAGAGCCCGGACTGCACAGCGTGAGTCCTGGCACAGGGCAGAGCCCGTCTGCCAGCCGTGCCTCCCCCCCTTCAGCGAATGCCTTATTGCCTCCGTGTAAAACCCGGGCACGCCCACACCTTGAATGCTGTGTCCAGACGTGTCACCTCAGCTCAGACGGATATAGTGGCGCTGGGAAAGGGTCAGAAAAGGGCAACAACAATGCTGAGAGGTTTGGAACGGCTGCTGTCAGAGAGATTCATAAAACGGGGACTTTCAACTTAGAAAAGAGACGAAGAGGGGCTAGGATAGAGTCTATACAATCAGGAGCGGTGTGGAGAACGTGAATAAGGAAAAGTTATTTACTTGTTCCCATCACATAAGAACTAGGGGTCACCAAAAGAAATGAATAGGCACCATGTTTAAAACAAACAAAAGAAGTTTTTCTTCATGCAGCGCACAGTCAACCTGTGGAACTCCTTGCCAGAGGATGTGGTGAAGGCCAGGACTTTAGCAGGGTTCAAAAAAGAGCTAGATAAATCCATGGAGGGCAGGTCCATCAATGGCGATTAGCCAGGATGGGCAGGGATGGTGTCCCTAGCCTCTGTTTGTCAGAGACTGGGAATGGGTGACGAGGGGGTGGGGGATCACATGTTGATTCCCTGCTCTGTTCACTCCCTCTGGGGTACCTGGCGTTGGCCACTGTGGGCAGGCAGGACACTGGGCCAAATGGACCTTTGGTCTGACCGCTCTTATGTTCTTCTGGAAACAAGGCGGCTTGCCTGGGCTTTGCCAGGAGAGGTGACAGGCAGACCTGTAACTGGCCTCATTGTCCTCCTCTGCAGCCTGAAGCTGTCAGACAACCTGGAATCCCTTCAGGTGGCAGCGCAGAAGCTGCAGGTGGAGCTGGCTCCCTACTACACGCAGCTCCAGGATCAGTGGTCGAAGGACACCGAGACCCTGCGGGCGGAGCTGACCAAGGAAATGGAGGAGGTGAAGCAGAAGATCCAGCCCTTCCTGGATCAGTTCCACAAGAAGTGGACGGAGGAGCTGGAGAGCTACCGCCAGAAGCTGGCGCCCATCGGCGAGGAGCTGAAAGAGATGACCAAGCAGAAGATGGAGGTCCTGCAGCAGAAGCTGACCCCCGTGGCTGAAGAGGCCCGGGACCGGATGCGTGGGCACGTGGAGGAGCTGCGCAAGAGCCTGGCCCCCTACAGCGACGAGCTGCGCCAGGCAGGAGCTCCGGGAGAAGGGCATCCCGCAGGCCGCCGAGTACCAGGCCAAGGTGATCCAGCACCTCACCACCTTCCGCGAGAAGGTCACGCCCCTGCTGGAGGACTTCAAGGAGCGCCTGACCCCCTACGCCGAGAACATGAAGACCCGCTTCCTGGCCTTCATGGACAGCGTCCGCAAGAGCATGGAGAGCACCAAGTAGCAGCCCCGGGCCGAGGACTCACCCACCTGCCCCAGCCACAATGAGCCCCCGATCGATCCGCCTGTCGGGGGCAAGGCGCGTCCCTTCCCCCTCCCCCGGCACTGGGCCAAGCTGGCCGGAGGAGCACGGCCCTGGGTGGCGCCGTCGATCGCTGATCCATTGCCGCCGGGGGGTTGAAATCAGCACACGGCTCGGGCGAGCCACGGCACCGCACAGGGCAAGGCCAGTCCGCTGGCATGTCCTGCCCAGAGCCTGCCTCTTCGCTCAGGCGTGGGGCTCCCCTCCCCGAACCCCTCATTCTCTCTTGTCAAATAAAAGTGATTTAAGTTCCTGGCGCGTGTTTGCAGGGCGGGAGGGGGGGGGCGCTGCCGGCACCGTGGGTCAGAGGAGACATGGGGCTCCCTGGGGGTCGGGGGATGGGGGGTGAGTGGAGGCGAAGGGCTGTGCAGGCCGGGGGCAGGAGGGGAAGCCGGGGGAGCAGAGTCTGGGGGAGCCCGGTCCTAGCAATCCAAGCGCAGAACTGAGGGGCAGGAGGAGGAGTCGGGGGAGCAGAGTCTGGGGGAGCCCGGTCCTAGCAATCCAAGCGCAGAACTGAGGGGCAGGAGGAGGAGTCGGGGGAGCAGAGTCTGGGGGAGCCCGGTCCTAGCAATCCAAGCGCAGAACTGAGGGGCAGGAGGAGGAGTCGGGGGAGCAGAGTCTGGGGGAGCCCGGCCCTAGCGATCTGAGCGCAGGCTGGCTGGGTGCGCAGAGCTGAGGGGCAGGAGGAGGAGCCGGGGGAGCAGAGTCTGGGGGAGCCCTGCCCTAGCGATCTGAGCGCAGGCTGGCTGGGTGCGCAGAGCTGAGGGGCAGGAGGAGGAGCCGGGGGAGCAGAGTCTGGGGGAGCCCTGCCCTAGCGATCTGAGCGCAGGCTGGCTGGGTGCGCAGAGCTGAGGGGCAGGGTGTCTGGGCGGCTCTTCCCAAGGGGCGTTGCTCGGAATCCCCTTCTCACGGCACCCGGGCGTGGAAGCGGAGGCAGGATGCGGGGCAATGGCAGCAGACGGGGGGAGGAGGGAGAGGCCACTGTAGCTCCCCCAGGAACAAGCTCCTTGGTGGGCCACTCTGGGCCGTATCTGGTCCCGGCTGGGGGCAGGGGTGCACCAGAGCTGAGGGCCTTTAGCGGAGCTGGCTAGGACCAGAGCGGGGGAGGCCTCAGCACAGCAGGCTGGCGAGCTACCCGGGAGCTGGGTCAGGCAAACACGGCTGCTCCTGCATTTGCAGCCACCTTGAGGGTAGCACGGACTCCCCCCCACGCCAGCCGCACGGCCCGGCCGGGGGCCCCCG